TACAGATAGGAATATAATTTGCTCTAAAAATATAACTTAAAATAAATTACTTTCATGTTAAAATTTTGCATTATGCAATTTTCTTTTTAACTTTTTTTTTTACGTACACATATTCTTTTCGAGTTTATTAGGCTGCTATCGTCAAAATAATTTTTTTTGCTATTGGCCAATTTTCTTTTTATTAATTATACAGAGGCTGCTTAAGGTGAAATTTGTCCTATATCAAATTTAATAAAGTATTTGTATGCAATAAAGATAGTGATGTAATTTTTTCCTATTAGTATATTTTGATATTTTCTATAATTCAAAATAAAATTTTCAACGTAGTTTTTGCAAATTTTTCATTGTGTTTCAATAAAATTGTCTTCAGTTTCAATAGCATTTTTACTACAGCATTACATACAAATAAAATATTATTCACGCTTAATAAAGGCTCGCAGTTTTCAACTTGATCATTTTATTTGAAAATAAATAATTTGAGTTTTCTTTATATATAATGAAAAGATTTTTAATGATTATTATTTCGGAAATCGTAACCTGTCCCAGATTTTTTATTTGCAAGTGGGTACTATGGTTAGAATGGGTTTGGTCGGGTATCTGTGGCAACAGGTTATGTCATCGTACAGAAACTCGGTGACGGTTTGGACGTTTGTTTTCTCGACAGTACAGGCTTCGTCGTCTAGATATTGAGTGCTGCAAAGCAGAAACCTGGAATTCTAATTCCATTTCTGAAAAAGAAATTTTGAAAATCAATTATGGACTACATTATGAAGTAAGATATATACTGCGTATTACATTTCTTTTCAACTGTTTTTTTTTTATTTTCTGTCCCGATTTTAAATTTAAAATTAGAGAAAAAACTATTAATTATATTTATTCAATTTATTCTTTATGAGAGTGAAAGATGTTATATTTTGTAAACACAAAATTCAATTAATTTAAATAAAAATATTTGTTATATCAATTATAAAATATTTGTTAAATCAATTAATTTAAATAAAATATTTGTTAAATCAATTTTAATTTTATTTAATTAAAATTTAAATAAAATATTTGTTAAATCAATTAATTTAAATAAAATACTTGTTAAATGAATTCTCATAATAGAAACTCTATCTAAAATTGTGGTTTGACAACCTATTGTACAGTATTTAAATTCTTCATAATTCAACGATACATAATAAAGAATTTATGAAAACCTTCAAGATTATACTACACAATATTATCCCAACTGAAATATTCCTAATCATCCACCATATAATTGCTGTAAATATGAACTTAACCAAATTAAACAAACCCTTTACACCTACCAAAGACAAAAAAATCATCAAGTCTTATCACACACAAAACATGAATATTAACCAAACAAGAATACCACAAATACTTGATGTTATAATATTGGTTTCAATAATTTTAGACATTCCAGTAGAAGTAGAACTGCTAGTAGATGTAGTTTTAGATGTAGAACTACTAGTAGATGTAGTTGAATTAAGGGGAGAATTATTACTACTAGAAGAAGAACTAGGAGACGAATTAGGAGAGGAGGTGGTGGAAGGATTGCCAAGAACATCATACGTTTGATATGAAATATCAAAATTAACGGATTGGCTTACAAAAAAGTTTCCTATTAAAAGGCACCAATCAGAATTTAAATCAGTTTTTTGCTGAGTACACGATCCAACAAAAGAAGTCGTAGATCCGCAAAGTGGGTCAGCAGTTGGACTACGAGAATTATCTAATAAATACGCAAAAAAACCGCCAAAATCAACAGGAGTAGCTGAATTAGAAACAGTGAATGTGGGACCAGAATAAGACGATAAGACAGCATCCAAGATCGAAACATGTTGAAGATAAGAGTACTTATATCCGAATCCACTCATATCTATACTGGTAGGTGCTGAATATGTTGATGGGGTTGTTCCACTATATGTAATGGCTATATATTGAAGTACATTAGTAATACTGTTAAAATTATATAAAAAATTTTGAACTCGTTAAATGTAAATTATCAGTAAATACATACATATGGAACTATACTTTTTCGAAGTAATATCATAACTTATTTGAGTAGATGATTTAGTTTGATCAGTCGTAAGACACTTAATCCAATAAGTATAGCCAGGAATTGTAACAGAGGTAGCATTAATCTCATGTACCTAATTTGTACAGTATAGGTATAATTTAGAAAATAGAATACATATATGTGATTAGTTAAAAAAACCCGATCATTTATTTTAGATACCTTGAAAATTAAAAGAACTGTTAAAATAGCAAGATATTTCATTTTATAATTTATAATTGAAAATCTTTCACAAAATATTTTATTTTTGCGAAAAGCCTGCGAAATTAAATTATCGATTATATTTATAAATGATTCAACAAATATATCTTATTTTTTATTCTTTATTTTTTTACACATAGATTGTTTATCAACCTATGGATGAACTGACAAATAAAGCGTTGTGTGTACCGTATATCATTTGCATCATAACAATGGCTAATTCTGTAATTTTCAAAGTTTCTAGAAATCTGCAACCTTTTATGATCATTCATTTACCCTCTATAGATATAAATACTCATGACCAATTATTTAAAGCAATATTTGGGAA